CATTAAATTCCCAAATAGAGAATAATTTATATTGTGTTGTCTATACCAATTCTTACTTTAAAGCATGCATGTGTTCCTTCATAAGAAAATTGAATTCATGTGTTATTGGTATCAAGTTTATTCATGACGTTGAGTCGGTGGTCTTGCATGGTCAAATGCGAATACATCATCGTTTCGTTTTGGTCCAGAACTTCCTGACTGTGGTTAGTTGAGAAATTCACTAGACAAAACTGCAAGTGAGGTAGAATCTTCTGTTGATGGCTCGCAGTGAGCTGTGAACAACCCTCCTACTTTCTCGCGCCAGATCACCTCAGCTTGACTAATGATCCTTCCTAGTCCAGCCACAGTAAGCGTTTCCATCATTGGTTCGATTTCAAGTTCTGGCGCTTCCACAATGCATTCCAATGCTTGAAGGTCTACTTGAAGTGGTCACTATGGCAAATAAATCTGCTTAAGGTCTTCATGTACTCATCATTCTTATATCTGATGTTTCTTGCGTATTAGAGTATCCATCCGAGATCAGTGAAAAGATCAGTAGTATTCTCATGATACTTGCTGTATGTTGAAAAGCCAAAATTTGTATAGCTCGCTAAAATATACAAGATTACTGATTTTTTTACCTAATAGATACAATCATCACTGGATTCGCTCGACATACATAAAGGAGTCCCTCTCCGTCTAATTTCTACGTCATGACACGAACGTTTTTATTTTTCTGGTATAGTATTTATCTTATAAAGAATGTTCAGGATATGTTGTTGTTTGTATTTTTGAAATTCCCAAGTCAGCGTCGATGACTTCAGCATTCATTTGATTATCTTTTCTGATTTCCATTGGTTCTATCGTCCTGTTGAAAGAAACATTGCAAGCTGGTCAAACTTTTTTCATTTGGGTTCATATCTCAGGCCCATAGGCAACATCCAAAATGGAAGGGTTTGCTACTCAGTTGTATGGACCTTTATTATCTGACCATTTTAGCAGACAAGGTAAGTGTGTTTTTTTTTCCTTTTACGTTAACTGCGTCGAAGTCGAAAAATTTTCGATACAGGATCTATTTCCTTACAAAAACCAGGCACGTTACGTCATTTACGCACAAAATTGCAGAAAAATTCACATAAAATTGATCCCTTTTATATGCCCTCGATGTCTCTCGAAAACGCATTTCCAAGAGTTATAATTTCAAAATTTCCTAGGGGTGGTCCAGACTACTTTAAAACTACCGCCTTTGGCGGTCCTTAGATCCCTAGATCAAAAATATGTGTCGCAGTCCCTGACATGTGCGTACTAGCTGAAACGTACACGCTACGCGCCTGAAAACTGATCGAAAATCGTAACAAGACCATATTGAATTTTCAGCCAGTGTGCAACAACACAAATTCTTTAAGGCCGGACCTTTTGGCCTGTATCTGTGCAATTTTTGTACTTGGCATTATTGGTATATATTTGTTAGAGAGGTAAATACATGTAATATACATCATGCAAGCAATCAAGTGTCCCGGGTCAGTGGGTCAGTGTCCCAGTGTTTGTTGTAAAGTAGATACATGTAATATACATAATGCAAGCAATCAAGTGTCCCGGGTCAGTGGGCCAGTGTCCCGGGTCAGTTGGTTAGTGTCCCAGTGTCCCAGTGTCCCACTGTCCCAGTGTTTGTTGTAGAAGTAGATACATGTAATATGCATCATGCAAGCAATCAAGTGTCCCGGGTCAGTGGGCCAGTGTCCCAGTGTCCCAGTGACCCACTGTCCCAGTGTTTTTTGTCGAAGTAGATACATGTAATATTCATCATGCAAGCAATCAAGTGTCCCGGGTCAGTGGGTCAGTGTCCCAGTGTCCCAGTGACCCACTGTCCCAGTGGTTGTTGTAGAGGTAGATACATTATATCATGTACACCATGCAAAGAATCAAGGAAAGCAATAAATCCCTGCACTTTGT